CACATGTGTGCTATGTGTTTCTCAAGCCACTGGGTCTAGGGCTCAAATTGTGTGGTCCTCCATGTGGGATCCAGCTGCCTTGAACACCAGGCCACAAAACTGGCCCTCCACTTTTTTCTCTTTCTCAGTTGTTGCTATAGAGTGTGTGTACTGGCCAGAGAGAGACAGAGAGGGCAAGTGAGAAATCACACTCCAGGTGGGATGGCCATGCCACAGTCCCTTTCTCCATTCTTTCTCTTGGGATTTTAGGCATGTGCGTGCGCGCACACACACACACACACACACACACACACAGTGTGATTTTCAAGCTGCTGAGTCTGGGACTCAAACTGTGGAGTTAGGCATGTGGTACCTAGCTGCCTTTACCTGCTTGCCACTTTCCAGCCCTTCCACTCATTTTTTAAGGAAAGCTTATGAACTTTCATGACCATAAGTACTATTTTTATGTTGTTGATGACTTCTAAATATGTATCTCGAGCTCCCACTCCCCACTGAACTTGAGATTCATTTCTGATTTTCTACTGGACATTTTCTCTTGTATGTCCATATATACCTTAAATACAATATGCCCAAAACCAAGCTCTTGTTTTCAAGAATCTGTTTGCTTCTCTTCTAGTGTTCCCTATCTCAGTAAATCCAATTGCTCCTTTGAATCTTTCTCTACTATGCCATTTCCAATCCTTTAGCAAGTGTTAGTGGATACTCTTTAAAATATATCTCACATCTGGCTACACGCCATTCTAGCGTTACCACTCTAGTTGAAGCTGTCATCGTCTCTCACCTGGACCACTGTAGGAGCCTCCTAATGGTCAACTTGCTTCCACTCTTGTCCTTTAAAACATAAATTAGATTATAATTTTTTGCTGCTTAAAACTCAGTGGCTTCACATCAGCCAAGTCCAGCCTGACCTGGCCCTTGGCTGGCACTGTGACTTTACACTCCAAACGTCCCCTGCTTCCTCTCCTCCAGTCACACTGGCCCAGCTTTCTTCAGCCCAGGCACATTCACACTCCAGAGCTTTTGCATTTGCTACTCTTTCTGCCTAAAGCTTGCTTTCACTGTATATTTATGTGGCTTGCTCCTCTACTTCACTTGAGTCTGTACTCAGATGTCATTTCCTCATAGAGGCCTTCTTCTTAATTAGTTATCCTACATAAAATAGCATTCTCTTAAAATTCTCATCTTTACTGTGCTTTCTTTTTTCTTATTGCTAACTGACGTTGTATTAAAATGTTTGGTTTATTATCTTGGTCCACCCTTGAATGTAAGTTCCATGAGGGTAATGAAGGCCAAGAGCATTGTTTGTTCACTGCTGTATACTTAGCACCTACTAGCTCATTTGATATACTGAATATATTTTGTGAGATGAATCAGTGCATATATGAATAACTGGCTATACTTGTCCTTTGAGAAAGATTGGGTAGGATCCCTTGTTCCCCGAATTACTGCTTCTCCTACCATGTGTAGTTTACTTATCTACCTGATGTAGGCACACTTTCCCATTTCTTCATGACACTCTCCCCTTCTAGTTCTTTCCAGCATCAGCTCACCCTATTACCTATTCCCACAGGGTGCACCTTCCTTCTCCATCACACAAAGTGGTCTCTTAGAATTAATATTATCATGTAACAAATACTCATACATATAAACAGCAGTTTCTATTAGGAGAGGAGGATTATTTCAGATAATGGTGGTGAGAACAGAAAATAAGAAATAAGAAAATAGAAATTTACACAAATTACATTTCAAAGTTCTGAAAGAACTTGCAAATATCTTGGAGACAATATTCTTGTGAAATTGTAGCCAGTGGGAAAAGCGACAAAAGATTCTACTTTTACTATTGGGTTGTTGGAAAAGTCATGACATATTTTTTCCAGGTTTTTCTATGCAAAAATGCATCATAACTTTTCCAACAATCCACCAGTTAGAATTCACCTGGAGTCTGGTGTTCCCTTGTATAATATTGAGGTCCGTATGGTACAGGTTTTTAAAAAGAAAATGCTATAGTGAGAACACATCATATATGTCTGAAAAATAATTGCAAATACTGTGTGTCAGGCATTCTTCTAAATGATCATTATAAAAAGTTGTTTAATCTTCATCTTATGAAGTAACTACTATGAGGGTACTTCAAAAGTTCATGAAAAAATGAAATTAAAGCATGAATTAATTTTTGTGCAGAAAAATTTTGAGGGACCAAATGGTGGTGAAGGGTAATACAACACTGGACGAGGCTCACCCACATGGGAAGGATCCAGGTTTGACTCTAGAACCTCCCTGCACACATCAGGCACATGTGTGCACATGACCTGGGGCAGGCTGAAGCTTACAGCGTGAAGATCCTGTTGAAGATGCCTATCTCTCTATCTCTTTCTGTCTCTCTCTCTTATAAAGGGAAGAAAAAAACTCAGACTTTTTTAAAAATCCATTCGTAGTTTTTTTTTTTAATATGCATTTTTCCATGAACATTCTAAAGATATCCCCCCCATATAGGTTAACAGAAGTAGAGGTGCAAGCAAATAAGTGCTGTTATTGGTCCTTTTATAGGAGTATTTATACTGAGTAGACTGGGGGACAGATAAGGAGGTAGTGACTCTTGAGCCCAAGATTAAGGCTAAACTGACTTTAGAACTTCCACAGTAGCTCCAGTTTTTCTCCCATACCACTACCTTCAAATATGCAAAGATAATAATATAGTGTTTAAGAGTACAGTTATGAAATCAGCATTGGCTGCACCTCCTACTAGCTGTGTGGCATTGAGGGAGTTATTTAACCTCTTTAAACCTTCGTTTACTCATTCAATAGAAAATAAATATGATATGGGGGGACTTCAAAAAGTTCATGGAAAATAGAATTAAAGTATGAGTTTATTTTTGTGTACTTTTAAAAAAAATCAATGCATGGTTTTTTTCACAATAGGCATTTTCCATTAACTTTTTGAAGGCCCCCCCCCCTTATTGTGAAGAGAACAATTTGCTATGAAAGATGATTCTAAGATTGCATGTTTGAGAGGAGAAAATTTGGAGAGTGAAGACTACATGCTATGTGGCTATGATAGAATTCCCCAAAAGAGAAATACCAGTATTTGCCATCAAGGTATATTGCAGGGCTAGATGTAATGCAGCAGAGATTAATTAATTTGTGAAGTATTTTGAAGTTCTTAAAACAAATGTTCCTTCTCTTTTTAGTCTCCCAAAACTCGTAAAGATGATTAAATTCTCAACTCTCCCCTCTTCCTCTTTAGATGCATTAAGATGAAAGAAAACAGTTAAGTATACAGCTTTTCTGGTGAGTAGGACAGAGTTCTGACAGTATCTACAAAGGGGATCCTTCAATTTCTTTTCTGATTTCTGTATCTGGACTCTCTTCAGTGGTGGCAGGACAGACTGCCCTTCCTTTATTACCCTAGTCTCTCATGCCCCTCATCTTTCACACGTGTCCCAATATGTCTTAATGCAGAATCACTGTATCTAGCTGAGACATGATGCCTAAGTGGGTGGGGGAGTCCCCTGTTTTGTTTAGCATTGTAGTCGACTTTGGACTTAGCTAGCGTACTCATGATTAGTTTAGTGACAATTGTTTCTTTTTCTCCTTTTACCATATGTTATTCCATGATTCATCATCTTTGAGTCTGTTGCCTTGAAGGTGAAACAATTTCTTCCAATGTTGTAGTTTCATAATCTCATAGATAACAAGTAAACGCATATGCATAGTCCTTTCAGAAGTTTTAAACAGTTGGAGATGAATGAATTACGCTGCCACAAATGGAAAGGAGCAGTATAAAATTATAATGTGATATCTAATTATCCTTTGTTAGGTGGTTATATGAACACTGATATTGATAAAATCTAGATCCTTTCATCTATTTTATCCTCCTTGTGAAATTGTTTCTGGTACGTGCTATTTATTATTTTTTAAATACAACATTTTACTTAATTGCCTTGATTTATGTATATTTTAATGTTTTCGACTGACAAGATCTTTATTTTTTTTGGGAGAGATTTTCACTGTAGGGCGCGTGCGCTCGCCAGACAGACAGAGAGAGACATAGAGACAGAAAGCGAGAAATCACCCCCCAGGGGGGATGGTCACGCCGCAATCCCTTCTCCTCCATTCTCCTCTCGGGATCTTGGGCACGCACGCACACACACCCGGCGTGAGTTTTAAGCCACCAGGTCTGGGACACGAACCGCGGTCGACTGCGTGGGAGTCCAGCGACATAGCCATTACGCTAACTGCTGGTTCCCGACAAGATCTTTATTTTTAGAAGTAAGTTAGGGTTGAGGGGCCGGATGGTGGACCAGCAGTAAAACGTAATGCTCTGTGAAGCAATCCCACATGGGAAATGCAGGTGTAGAGACTTTCCTGAGCTGGGGCTGGCTGAAGGTGGGCCTGCATTGTGGCCTCAGTACTCTACAGGGGCAATGTCTCTTTTTCTCCCTCTTTCTGTTTCTGTCTCACTCATGGAAAAAAATGAGTTAATAAAGTTAAAAAAAAGAAATAAGGTTTAAATTCTAAATAAATCATAGCATAGCTGTTTATATTGTATTGGTGACAGCTGTTCTACATTTAATATGTAGCAATATCTATTCAAACCTTGAGAAATATTTTAGTTTCTGATATAAATGGTAATCTTATGAAATATTTTAATTCAACATATTACATTTTCTGAATGTAAAACAAAGCAATATTTCTACATGGCTACTTCCTAAGTATCTGGAAGATTAGACTTTTGTAAACATGAAGTACATTAGGTAATTAGTAAATTAGGTTTCTGCATGTAGCAGAGTAAGTCTATTTATTGTGTTGCCTCATTTAGCCACCTGTCTCTTCTTACTCAGAATGTCAGTAACTGTTTTTCAATGAATAAAAACTCTTTATAATTTATGGTTGTATAAGGCATGTGTAGGTATCTTATAAGTGTACATTTGGAGAGAGATTTTTAAAAGATTCTAATTCTCACTATATTTTTTCCTCCTCTCCCCCTTACCTGGTTTTAGCTTCTCTTTGGTTCAGGTGTGTTGGTGTCCCTAAGCCTTTCTGGGCCGCAGCTGGAGAAAGTGGTGATTGACAGAAGCCTAGTGGGGAAGCTCATCTCAGACACCATCAGTGATGGTAATTACCCCCATGTGCAAATCAATTGCCTACATTAACAGTGGGGCAGGAGAAAGGGCGCGTGCGCTCGCCAGACAGACAGAGAGAGACATAGAGACAGAAAGCGAGAAATCACCCCCCAGGGGGGATGGTCACGCCGCAATCCCTTCTCCTCCATTCTCCTCTCGGGATCTTGGGCACGCACGCACACACACCCGGCGTGAGTTTTAAGCCACCAGGTCTGGGACACGAACCGCGGTCGACTGCGTGGGAGTCCAGCGACATAGCCATTACGCTAACTGCTGGTTCCCGACAAGATCTTTATTTTTAGAAGTAAGTTAGGGTTGAGGGGCCGGATGGTGGACCAGCAGTAAAACGTAATGCTCTGTGAAGCAATCCCACATGGGAAATGCAGGTGTAGAGACTTTCCTGAGCTGGGGCTGGCTGAAGGTGGGCCTGCATTGTGGCCTCAGTACTCTACAGGGGCAATGTCTCTTTTTCTCCCTCTTTCTGTTTCTGTCTCACTCATGGAAAAAAATGAGTTAATAAAGTTAAAAAAAAGAAATAAGGTTTAAATTCTAAATAAATCATAGCATAGCTGTTTATATTGTATTGGTGACAGCTGTTCTACATTTAATATGTAGCAATATCTATTCAAACCTTGAGAAATATTTTAGTTTCTGATATAAATGGTAATCTTATGAAATATTTTAATTCAACATATTACATTTTCTGAATGTAAAACAAAGCAATATTTCTACATGGCTACTTCCTAAGTATCTGGAAGATTAGACTTTTGTAAACATGAAGTACATTAGGTAATTAGTAAATTAGGTTTCTGCATGTAGCAGAGTAAGTCTATTTATTGTGTTGCCTCATTTAGCCACCTGTCTCTTCTTACTCAGAATGTCAGTAACTGTTTTTCAATGAATAAAAACTCTTTATAATTTATGGTTGTATAAGGCATGTGTAGGTATCTTATAAGTGTACATTTGGAGAGAGATTTTTAAAAGATTCTAATTCTCACTATATTTTTTCCTCCTCTCCCCCTTACCTGGTTTTAGCTTCTCTTTGGTTCAGGTGTGTTGGTGTCCCTAAGCCTTTCTGGGCCGCAGCTGGAGAAAGTGGTGATTGACAGAAGCCTAGTGGGGAAGCTCATCTCAGACACCATCAGTGATGGTAATTACCCCCATGTGCAAATCAATTGCCTACATTAACAGTGGGGCAGGAGAAATAGTGTGTCAACAGGTAGACTAATTACTACCACTTGGGACTTGGAAACATAACAAGTAATTGCTTGTAATAGCATAGTTACAACCCCTGGGACCAATACAAGTTTCAACTAATATTTAATATCAAAGTTTTGTCTTGTCAAATGTTAGGCCCATATTCTGAATATTTTTCACTCTTTCAAAGTGTGAATGTGTTTCATGTAGGTTTTTTCATTCTTTCAAAGTTAGTCCTCTATTATTAACATTTCAATATTTTTCATTTCCAAATGAAATTTGAATAAATAACACATGTATATCAACACAGTCGCCAATAACAAAATCAGTGCTTTGGCTCCTACAGGAAGATTTTTCTTGGTTGCTAAAGTGTGTGAATACTAACTTTTTAGAGATTTGGGGTTGTATTTTCTAAATATCAAAAATCAGTGCCAGATATACTGGAAAAATATGGTTCTATTAAGTGGTAACACAATATGTAATTGGTACAGATGCCTTTGCTTTGTCAAAAAATATATATATTATATATATATATGTATATATATTAATTGATACAAAGCACATAGGAAAAAGATTTTGAGAAAGTTATTAAATAGGAAGGGTATTGACACTTATTGAGACATAAAGGCTATATGCCAGGTACCTACCTATTTCATTTAATCCCAGAAAACAATAATTTAAGGCATAATGATTTCCATTTTTATAGATTAGAAAACTGAAGATGAGCTACTAAGGAACATGCCCAAGGGTCATAAAGCTAGAAAGTGACTGAGCTGAGATTTGAACACAGGTCTGGAGGCAAAACCCATTTTCCTTCCACTGTGCTATGCTAACTCCTCAATTTTAAAGATTATATTTGTTTATTCAAGGTGAAAAGGTCTAGAAACAGACTGCATTATAATGAAAGATTGAAAATGGTCAGTATTTTAAATTGAATAATCAAAAGAAAACTGTTGTCTAGCAGAAAGAACAGAGGTGAGAATAAAGAAACCTTCTGTGCACTGTATGCTTTCACTAGCTACCTTGGAGTAAATCAGATACAAATCAGACACACTGGTATCATACTAAAGAAAAGCACCCTGTAGGATGGCTATAATTAGCAACATGACTAATAAGCTGGGGGTAAGATTGTAAGCATACCGTTTCCATATCTTACAGACTATGGTGCTAAGGAAGCTTCCCTATGAAGTTCCATTTTTAGACATCTAATAATTGACCCCTTTGTTGACATTGCAAATAAACTAGTGGCTGTGATGATTTTGTCATACTGATGCTTTTCTATAGGAATTAAAAGGAAGCTTCTAACACTATCTGTCTCTGAGTTATCTTTTTTCCACTTGTTTCTTTTATTTGTACCCAAAATAATACATTCTCATGGGATCATGGTAACAATGTAATTTCTTGGCAGTTCTCCAGATTCTCCTGTAATTGTGTAGATCCACTGTTGGTCACTGCTTGCACGGCCAGGGGTGGGGAAGTAAAGAAAAATGTACAAAACATTCAATGATGGTTTTATGCTAGGAATAAATAAAACATTTCTCCAGTCCCTATTGTTTTTATAAATAATTTTATATAACACTATTGACCATTTATATAACCTTTTATATTAATTATCTACCTACACTTACTTGTGTGCTTTAGAAATAAAACTGTGGGAATATTTTTGCTTTTCTTCATCATTAAATATTAACATATACTATATATATAACATAATATACATAATATACATTATTGTATTCAGCCTGTATACCTTTAAAAGTGAGTTCTTTGATTAAATTTTTTATGCATTCAATCACTATATATCATTACAGCATGCAAAATGAATTTTCCCAGCATGAATACTCTGCATATTAGTCCAGTTAAAGATATTGTCATACACGTTATCATCAACAAATAATTTTCCATTTTTTGTGTCCCTTTAATGTTTTGCTTCCCTTTCTTTTTTCTCTTGATTCCATTGTTTAAAATTTTAGAATGAAAAAAAGATGGGTGATTATTAATCAGTATTTTCTAATAAATCTGCTTCATTCACAGATGTTTGATATCATACAAATATAGGATTAAAGTCTGAGTGCAGATAAAAATAAATGTTTTCATCTTTACATTCAGGTCTGAAAAAGTCTTTTCTAGCCTTAATTACAAATGCATCTCATTTGGTGGTTATCCCTAAACATCAGTGTATATTGAAAAAGTCTTAAGAAAAAAGAAAAACATTAAATTCATACATGATTAGATTGATGATTATTGCTTATTCTTAGTATATTTAATATCCTTGTAATATGTCATAATGATATTTAATAGATTTTAGTGATGTCATTTAATAATTAACTTCTGAAAATGGCTTTTTATAATATTTTAGTAGAACTGATCTACTAACTCATCATTTTATTCTAATTTAGTATTTTCAAATCATTTTTTTTAGGTCTTCTCACAGATAGTTTTATCATCTTATCATTTTCATCTCAAAACAAACTGTGTTTTATTCAGTTTACCAAGAAGATGGATTCTCCTGATATAAACAGAAGACTGGAAAAACTCTCAGCCTTGGATTATAAGGTAGAGATTTCAATTTATATAGTTGTATTATTAATTACTAAGTTATACTAGCATATCACATGGGTTGATGCTATGGTCATTATTTTTAAACATTTATGGATTACACACAAAAAACAGAATTACTATAGGATTAAGCTTGATTCACTACAAACAGTGACTATCCTAAATTTTATTTTTGACTCTATGAAGGAGGGTCTAACAGTGCCACATGTGGATAAATTTATATGGTATTTAGGAAAGTCACAAGTCAGAAAATAGAGGCAAGTTTGAAAATAATTTTCTTGCTAGTGGTAGTATATATACCATTTACACATTCTCAGTTCTTCTAAAACCTTATACTATCTGTCTGAGATAAGATAGTGCTCTTGGTTTCCATTTCACAAGAAAAGAAAGAGGAAGAAAACACTTTCAAAGGTTAATAGTAAAGTGTAATAAACAAGGAATGGAAAGACTCCCCTCCCCCAACTGTAACTGGAGAAAATGCAAAAAGAAATCTCCTTCATATGTTAGTATCTCTCTCTTCCCTAACTCTAGGTAATTTGTTTCTTTGTATTGGGGACTTTGCATCTGTTAAGGCAGAATTTTTATTTCAAATGATGTGCTTAATTTAAGTTTTGCCACATTACATTTTAACTGCTGGGAAGGCATGCTCTCTGTTTGGATGGGTATCTAATACATTTTCCAGGCTGTTTCAGTTCAAGGCCTCTTTTCAGCAAAGACTTGTGTTTGCAAGATTGATCCAGCCTCTGTGACGTGGATTTGAGACAGTTCACTGTTCACTGGAAACAGAACTGATATACAGCTTTCTTAAAAAAGATGCACACTTATGCCATACCTAGAGTATCTATAGCAAGGGTGAAGATTTTTAAAAGCTAGCATTGTGACTTAAACTATGTATTTTTAGAAAAGGAATATTTAGCCCAACCTTTTCCCTTTGGAATTGTTATCATATAAGAGGTCTTCAAAATGTTCATGGAAAATGCATACTATGGAGACATTATGCATGCATTCCAACATTATTTTGCACCAAAATAAACTCATACTTTAATTCCAGTTTCCCATGAACTTGAAATCTCCTCAAAATTGAGGTAGTAGTATATAAGGAGAATTTAGTCTTATTTAGTGGAAACATCTTATAAAAATTTTTTTTCTTTTTTTATTAAATAATTATTTTATGTATGTATGTATTTTAATTTGACCAGAGAGAGAAAGAGAGTGAGAAAGCAAGCCACCAGGTCTGGGACTTGAACCGTGGTCAGCCATATGGGAGTCCAGCACCCTTCACCACACCACCTGCTGATCCGTAAAAATATTTTTAACATGTAATGAAACATATTAAAATACATTTTTAATTGCAGCAGTAAACTACGATCTGGTTTTGTTTTCTAGTTTTGTGGACCTTCTATAAAACTTTATAAAATTGATTTTAACTACAAATTAATGGTACTCTTGTATTATATTTGGTTAGTCAAAAGGTAAATGGGGTCTGGTAGGTGGCATGTTGGTTAACGGCACTGGACTCATACATGGCTGACTGCAGTTCAAGTCCCAGACCTGGTGGCTTACTTTCTCACTTTGCCTCTCTCTGTCTCTCTCACTCTGTCCATCTCTAGTCACATAAAAATAAATAAGTAAATAAATAAAGCTGAATAAATAATTCTTTTAAAAAAAGAAAGTTAAATGGTATCATTCTTCAAGGATATTATTTCAAAAATGGCTAACTACAGATTTATTTGAAATACTATTTATTTGCTAATATTAGTCTTTAAAATATACCAGCATGCATTAACTACAACCATTAAAGTTTTGTTAATGCTGTTATATAATATATAAAGTTTTGTAGTACTGGTTTCTTGTAAACTGAAGCGTAATGGTTGCCACCTGTTAAAAAGAGCGGAGAGAAACTGTCAAGATGTCATCTTTTCCTACAGAAAAATGTGGAAAACAGACCAAGTTTTTGCATTCTTATGCCTTAAGTAAGGGAGTTACTTCCACGATTATTTTTTCTGCCTTTGAATTTGGGAAATTGGGAACATGAGCACTGCACATTGTTTCTGTACATTAGAAAAGTAATCTATTACCTTTTGGAAAACTCATGAATTTAATTTCTTGGTTCAATACTTAAAATATATATATATATAGTCAAACTGCCATTCATCTATTGGAAGATAATTAAGAAACTTGTTTGTTTATTTTATTTGCTCTCTGGATCACAATGACAGAATATACCATTAAAACTCATAGAAAACATGAGAGTGCAAATGAATAAATAATTTGCGTTGTGTGAAAACTGAAAACACCAACCACTTTGACTCTATTTCCTCATCTAGAAATTTTTAAGTAACATGCTTACATGATAAGTCAGACATAAAAAAAGTATGTGTATCTTTTAAGTACTCCATTTCATTTTCGTATTTATCTCAGATAAGAAGATAGTTAAAATAATATTGAGAGCTTCAGTATAAGAATTTGCACTTATAGGCATCAAGGACATCTGTATTGTCTGCCATTGCCCATTTGCATTTTAAAACAAGGAAATGGTGGCAAGTATAATTCTGCCTTTTCTTTACAGTAGCACCATAATTAAATTCTTTCAGAAATAATTTTGGCAAAGAAAATTGCAGAGTAAATGTCCTGAAACTATTGACCTTTAACAAGTTTTCCTGTCTACATTTAAAAAACCCAATTCAATTTGTTTAACAGTGAATGGACAGTGCAAGGAGTTAAATGTTTACCATGAGAGAACAACACTGGTAATTACTTTGATTTCAGTTTCTTTTGATGTGCATTCAGAGGATGAAGAGGTCAATAATATTATGGCCATGCAAATAGAAAAGGGTTCCTTTTGACCATATTGAAAAAAAATAGCAGAGGATTATTAAAGCATTAACCTTGATTTTAATGGCCTTGGTTGAGTGGTGAGATCACAATTTGGATGAGCCTGATTATTTACTAAATACAATACATAAATGCAACGGGTTCTTAACACCCATTGCACTCTGGCATTATCGCATTACTGCCATCCTTTGTTGCCTTGCAGACAGGAATATGAAAGCAATCTGTCATGTAGTGAGACTGGCTCCAGAAGCATTTCTCTGATAAGAAGACCCCCTGCCCTTTGCTAGTGTCTGGTCCAGTAGGCTTAGCCATGCGCTTAATCCCCAGAAAGTGGTTCGATTATTGCTGACCAGCAATGGCAAGATAGTTTTTTTTTTTTCTTCCAAGCTATCAACCTTCCATTAATTCCTTAAGCAGAAATACGGTGCAATCTATATTTCCTTGGCATGTGTCACCCAGATGGTGCCGTGCTTATGTTTTCAAATAACCATGTTCCAAAATAACATAGTTTGAATAATAAATTCTACAAATCCTTCCTAAGAAAGAGAAGCATAATTCTCAGAAGCTGCATAAACTTTTACGCATGATGCTGTGGCTTATCCCTTTTATGCAGAATATATGTGTGTATGTCTCATATATTTTTTAAAAAGATACTTGCCTCAAGTTGTTTTTCTTTTTATTGTTGTCAGTCATTGTTAACGTGTTATGTCTTAAACAGTAGTCAGACACTCTTGGTCAGCAGTACTGAACTTGTCATTTAATACAGCTGGTCTTAAATCCTATGTGTAGGTCGATGCTGTCAAGCAACCATGACTGTACATTTTGGTATCGATTGGAATTGCTACATCCAATTCCTCCCTAACTCACATTTCTTTCTCTTTTTCCTTTCCTCGGCTAAAAATGGGGAGAATTTTGAACATATGTCTTTTTTTATACATGTGTCAAAAGAATTTGGTAAATTCTGACACCTTCTTAAGCACATGTTTAACATGCATATTTACTTGCATGTATCTACATTTACAGATGCTTTAATTTTTGTAATCCTTTTAGAATTTTACATCTTGAAGAAGAAATGTTTCTGATATGCTTTTTTTTTCTTTAACCTTTAGATTTCCTATCATGAAATACCTGGCCCAGTTAACAGGACCACAGAACGTCATCTAGCTATCAATTGTGTTCAGGATACAGTTGTTTGCTGGTGGCCACTGGTCAGCAATGCTGCTTGGCCTTGGGCCCCCATTTCTTCTGAGAAGGACAGAGCCAATCTGCTGCTCCTGGGTTTTGCTCAAGGAAGACTGGAGGTAAATCTAAAACAAATATATACACCTTAGTGAAATGAAAATAAAATAGGATTATTAGTTTTTCTATTCTGAAATAAATGTGAATAATTTTTAAACCTACATTTTATTTTTTAATTAAAAAATATTTCAAATATTCAAAAAAGGAAACTACATATGAAATGAGGTCCTAAGAAGTCATATCTAGAGGCTATTCAGACAGTTCCAGGGCTGGCCTTGGATAGTGTAGTGATTAAGAGCATAGATGTCTGGGCCCAAAACCCAGACATCTACTTAGCTCTCTGACTTTGAACAAATGACTGCCCACTGAGTGCTATGGTTTCATTATTTGAAAAATAATTGATGAAGATAAATGAGTCAGTACATTCATGTAGAGCAATATCTACATACAGTAAACTCTGAATCACTATTTACTATTGTGATTCTTCTTACTATTATTGATACTGTCCATTACTGTTTGCTCATGATTTTATGCCTGTAATGAGAGTAATTGGCAAAATTACTGTCTTCAAATTTTGGTCAGTTAACCAACATTAGTCAAGCCTACATTGTACAAGGCCATACTGTAGCTGGGGCAAGAATATATAAAGCAAAAGCCTGTTCAGCACAGTGTCCTGTCTCCATCAGGAGCATCTTAAGGGTTAATCTCTGAAGGACTATATTCTCACTGTACCTATTCCTTATAATGGTTTGATCATTTATTCATATGTGTATTTTGAGTTTGTATCAGTAACTTCAAAAATGGAGTCCCTGTCCTACCCTTCCTACTTTTAAAAGTTTTTACCTGGGTAAAATAGTATGTTCCTATATTTTTCTCTTAATCTGCTTTCTTTAAGACATTAAGGAGTACTTCCCAGAAGTAATATTCCAAGATAAAATTAAACAAGTCTAAATTTTCTCTAACCTTACTTTGGTTTTATAAACGTTCAAGTTGTCTTTTAAGACCAGAGTCCTAATATTTACATATGTGCATATGTATTTATGTTTTCCTTAAGAACCCCTAAATCTTCTATAGAGTTTTCTTTCCTTTTTCTGGAACTTTTTAATCCTGTTGCAATGACTAAATTACTTGTAGTGCTTTCCAGTCCTGTTGCAGTGACTAAATCCACCTGTAGTGGATTGTGTGACGCCAAGGAAGTGCTCTGTTCTAATTCACTTCTTGTTCATACCTACCATTTCATTAATCTTGGGTCCAGAAGCTCATTGAATAAGACTTCATCAAAATGACTTAATGTAATTAAGCAATTAGAATTCAATGAAATGTTCTGTCTTATAATAAAACTAAAAATAATTAAATCATACATTTTTTAAACTATTTTTATTTGAAATGAGTATATTTTATGAAATTGGAACTGTCCTTAAAGGGTGCATTTGTGGCCTATATATATCATCACCTAATGTCATCTGGATCATAGTCCTAGTGTTCGCTAATGAAAGGCAAATATAAAAATATGTAAGTGCCTTGAAGTATTCATGGTACTGGGGACCAAGTATGTAGAAGGTAAAATAGGAGCTAGTGGGGAGTGGTTGATTCTGCTTAGAGGATGTTGAAGGATGATTAAAGAGGCTTCTTGATGTGCTCAATATGAAATTGGTTTGCAATTTCACTTTCATTTATTATTCTCTCTAGGTTTGATATCAAGGTTGTAGTAGCCTAGTGGAGTGCTTTGGCTAGATTTTTTCCCTTTTCCTCTCTGCACCAGAACAAAAGGAATTATCTGATACTTGAAATAAAACTGCCTTGGTGTGGTATCTTTTATTATTGATTTTATTATTAAAAGGTTGTTTATTTTCAGAATTTCATTTTCATCTTGCATTGTTTACCACAACTTGTGTATCTGGAAAATTATCCATTCTATATAAATATTTGCATATATTTTTATAAAGTCATATGTGATATTTGCATGGTATTTTTTTTTTCATCATGAATTGCATAATGTCTTCCATTTTGATTCTAATATGTTAAATTTTTGGCAACAGCTTTTGTTTAGGATTTGACCCATCCTTTTATTCTATCAAAATCAACCTGTTGGAAAAATCTGTAAAGTTTTTATTGCAGAACCTTATGTAAACTTTATTATGCAGAAGGTGAACATCTTTTGGATGAAATATCTAGGGATATAACTGTTTTTCTTCTTTTGTGTGTGAAGATAATCTTTAACTCTGAAGTGTAGCAAATGTTTTAGAATATCATGAACTAAAACTATCAGTCTATTAAAGTGGTATTAAGATATACCCCATTAAATTGTTTTCACCAACATTGAAGAAAGGACTTCTTGAGTTAATCTTTAGAATAAAGATGCAATATACTCTTTTTTATTTGGAGAGAGTTTTTTTTTTTTTTTT